ATATATATATATATATATATATATATATATATATATATATATATATATGTATATATATATATATATATATATATATATATATATATATATATATATATAATATATATAACATATATACATATATATATAATATATATAACATACACACACACACACACACACATATATATATATATATATATATATATATATATATATATATATATATATATATATATATATGTGTGTGTGTGTGTGTGTGTGTGTGTGTGTGTGTATATGTATATATGTATTTATGCATGTGTATATATATATATAAATATATATATATATATATATATATATATATATATATATATATATATATATATATATATATATATACATATATATATGGGTGTGTGTGTGTGAGTGAGTGAGTGTGTGTGTGTGTGTGTGTGTGTGTGTGTGTGTGTGTGTGTGTGTGTGTGTGTGTGTGTGTGTGTGTGTGTGTGTGTGCGTATATATGTATGTGTGTATATATATACATATACATATATATATTATATACACATACATATGAATATATATATGTATATATATATATATATATATATATATATATATATATATATATATATATATATATAATATATATATATGTATATGTATATAATATATATATGTATATATATATATATATATATATATATATATATATATATATATATATATATATATATATATACACACACACACACACATTTATATGTGTGTGTGTGTGCGTATGTGTGTACTTCTTGTTTAAGTCCCAACGCTTGCTATCATTGTCCTATACTAAATCCTATTATACTAAATACTAAATAAATAATACTAAATAATACTTAATTTTATTATACTAAATACTAAATAAATAACATATACTAAATTCTATTATAACGTATCAACAAGAATGAGACAAATAGTCGCGTGTCAGGTATCTGCATAAATGAATAGAAATCTCCTTGGGAAAAGACATTCAGGTTTGGATAAATAGAACGAAATAACTGGTGTGGTAGAGCTAATAACCAGCCTTAAAATGCAGCGGTAAGCGTATTTACCGTTTGGGAAAATTAGCAGGTGCACATTGATCAAAAATTCATGCTTGTTTTATATAAAGCATGAGATAATATATCATTTTTCAAGTATGACGTATTTGTTTTCTGTGAAAACGCATTATGTCTTTCCTTATAAATCGTTCACCTCGAGTAGGGAGCGCAATGAACTGACGTACCGCACAGTCAGCATAAATGATTTAATGCCTAGAGGTTGTGATAACGACAGGCATTGTGAGAACCTTTGTCGTTATCATGTGAAGGGTGAGAGCCATATACTGTGCGCCCCGCCTGAGTGACGCGTCTAACTCCTTAACGCCTGGATATGTTTACTTCGTAGGAGAGTTGGCATGTGTGTTGTGTGTACGTAGTTGCACCTCGATTCACATGTTATAATGGTTACAGTATAGGTCTTCTTCATTTATATATATGCTCGTATATACTCGTATATTTGTTTAATACTTATTGCTATATTTCTCGAGGTCTTCCTGAGATGATAAAGATAAGTGATGATGATGATGATAGTGATGTCAGTAATCGAAATGGCGTTATAAAAAACTGTATCAGTATTTTTTGTTGTTGTTGTTGTTTATTTACATATCTATTCATTCATCTACACCATTTTTTCTTTCTGCATCATTTCCAGTAGAAGTCTAATAATAATAATAATAGTAACAGTTAGGATAGTAACAGTGATTATGATAATGGTAATAGTGATGAGGAAGATAATGTGTAAGGTGATGATGAATGTGATAAGGGTGGTGTTAATGATGATGACACATATTATGTCAGAAATAATAACAACATCAAAAGTTATTATTGACTGAAAAGTAAGTTTGCAGATCAGTAGTGTTAACCAATGGGCTTCCTGCAGTATAAAATAATCTGTTTGTATATATTTTCCAAAATTCTTCAAGGTGATAATGCTAAATTGGTTTTGGGTTAAAATTAGGCCTTCGGAAATGTACATAAGTCTAAATTAATTGAACTGAACAGAACTGACCTAATTTAAACTTAATTGAACTACTCTATATTGGACTGAATTAATCGAAATTGAACTGCGCTGGACTGAAATTAATTGAATTAAACTGTAATGCATAACTAAACTAAATAACTAAACTGAACTTAACTGAAGTAAACTAAATTCTACTGAACTGTACTGAACAAAAACAAACAAACAAAAATATTCATCTGTAGTGAGCTAAACCTAAATTAAACTGAATTAAATTTAAGCAAAACTATAAAGAAAACGAATGTGAAGTTCACACACTCTCTCATCTATCATAAATTCCTAAATAAGCGATTGGATCCTTTGCTCTTTTCGGATAGTTTCCAAATGTTTATATATATTTTTTATTTGTATGGTGTGAACGGGAGCAGCTGCTGGTTTTGTACTCTTTAAAAAAAGTTGAGAAATGCATTGCACAATATAATACGTCCATGAAAACCACGACAATGTATATACTGCTGCCATCTTCAGGATTAGTTAACGTTCTGAAAAGCAGATCAAAATGCGATTCGATTCCTTAGATAGAATACTTGAAGAATTGTTAACGAATATGGCTTATATTGGTTCTCAAACTGGGTTTTTGAAAATGCATGGCAGGTGATATATCTATACTAATAAAATGGCCTAATTAACGGGTCTGCTTTTCTGCTTAATTGTTTTTAAGTAATTACATTGGTTGGTTACTGGTTGACTCCGTGACTCAGCAAAAACCTATTGATAATACCTATAGCATTTTTGTTTATTTTAAGCCGAAAGTTATAACATGTAAGATAATGATATATGCCTCTCCTTGCATCCGTTCTATGTATTTATATCACTATTGCCAATTTTATTTTATTTCTACTTTTCTTCTTCTTCTTCTTCTATATTTCCCTTCTACTTTCTTTTTCTTCTTCTTCTTTCTCTTAATCTTTTTCTTCTTTTATTTCTTAATTTTCTTCTTATTCTTCGTTTTCTTCGTTTTTTCATCTTCCTCTTTTTCTTCTTCTTTTCTTATACTTCTTGTTTTTCTTCTGCTTCTTGTTCATGCGGTAAAAGGGTAAACGGCCAAACATATGCAACCGAGGAGATAAATGCAAGAGGAATACATCGCTGCTGTTCCAGTCTCGGGACACTTGCTATTAGCATTTCTCTTTCGTTAACAGTTTCAAGAGATAAAAAAAAAATAGTGTTTAAGCTTTCATGCATATAGTTATCCCCGGTGTCCATGGATAATGATAATAATAATAATAATAATAATAATAATAATAATAATAATAATAATAATAATAATAATAATAATAATAATAATAATAATGATAATAATAATAATGATAATAATAACAGTAATAATAATGACAATAATTATAACAATAATAACAATGATGATAATGATAATAATAATAATAACACTAATAATGATAATAAAATGATAATAATAATAATAATGATAATAATAACAAAACGATAATAATAATAATAGTAATAATAATAATCAAATGATAATAATAATAGTAATAATAATAATAATAATAATAATAATAATAATAATAATAATAATCAGATGATAATACTACTAATAAAATAATGATAATAATGATAAAAAGACCGTTGAGTTTCGCCATGGGCAAGCATGCATGGCTCAGTCAGAACAAGTGTATGTAAAACCGATTTCCTGAAGATGAAAAACTGACGCAGCGAAGGTGCAGGTTTTCAGATACTGATCTTACGTTTATTAATATCCATGTTGGTTAACCAGGTACATTGTTTATTCTTTGGTCACGCCTGTAGTTCACGAAGTACATTGTGATATTTTTAGTCAAGGAACTATAATTCTTTATTCGATGTAAACGTGATAATCTATTCAGGTTTGATAATTTAATTAAGTTTTAGGATGATACACTCATTCAGACTAAAGTTAGGAGAGGATGTACATATAGCTAAAAAAAATGTAATGAATAGATAAAAAAAATAATAGAATATATGCAGAAAATGAGAAATAACCAGCATTTTTGTTATCAGAAAAATATAAGTTCAAAAAGAAGAAAAAAAGGTCGTTTCATTAGAATTACACTGAGAATAATCGTACAAATATGAATAAATTAATAAATAAATTTTAAAAAATGCATCATGAAATTTCCTCCATTTTTCAGTGTATGACCGATCGTCATTATATCCCAAACTCTTTTTTTTTTTGTTTTTTGTTTTTTTTTATAGTTTTCTAGTTATTTATTTGGTGTTTACGTAACTAGGCGTTATAGTATTAGTTGAGAAAGGTAGGCCTAGATCACGCATGTTGTTTCCTGCATTCCTTTAAAAACGACCACTTATAAAATAGAATAATAAAAAAAAGTGATAACAAATGATAATAAACAGTAAAATATAGAGCAATAAAATGAAAATAGTACAATTGGCAAAATCCTAATAAACAATTATAGCAAATAAGGCCTATCCATGTATAACAGTAAGACAGAGGAGAACTGAAACGTGAAAAAATATGGATTTTCTTCCATGCTGAGATTCACATAAATATAGCCTTTAAAATTATAATAGATACAAAAGAATCTAGAAATAACATTCAGAATACAGACCAGGTGTAGATAACAAAATCTCTAACATCAGCAATATGAGGGGAACCGCAGGTATGTTAGTGATAAAGACGTTATCAAAAGTCAGAAGAAAGATAATGATAATGATTATTTCATTATGACAAGGAGGATAACGAAATTAAATGATAATGGTAATTATGACATTATATCAATTATGGTAATTAGAGAAACGTAAGAGTAAAAAGAATGATGATGATGATGATGACAATGAAGACAAAGATGATGGTGATGAGGTGATTATGATGATTGATGATAATGATAATGAAAATTATCATGATGATAAAAATGACAATAAACAATAAACAATTATAATCATAATCATAATAATGATAAGGTTGTGGTAACGGAAAA